GGTATGTAATAGGTAGTCAGATGGGATTCGATAATAACCGGTGTATACTTTCCTTTTCAAACTTATTTCTGGCTTTAGTTTTAAATCGATTTTTCTAAATAAATGTTCGTCGCGACAGCGAGAACCTATTTAAAAGCAGTTTTGCCACGACTGTGGGAAATTCATAAAGGTATGAACCAACAAGCGACAACTGAGGTTAGGACTAGATAGTAAAAACTAAGCATTCGTTTTAAAAACAGCGACAGCACTTTAAAAAGGATTAGAGCTTAATGGTTTTCAAAAAGTAATTTTAACCGCGAACGGAATAGCGACAGCATACGTTCCGCCTTAGAGTTGCGACTAGCGTCAACAACCATCGTGAGACAAAGGTCTTTAAACCGTCATTTTCTTCTTAAACTATTTTTGAAAACACCCAAAACACCGGTGACTTGTCGAATCCTTGAAGAACGCCTTTATACCTTAAGTAATGTTTTTAGTTCCCCTTTGGTTTACGCACTTATTTTGCTTTTATTTCCCTAAAACCATACCAACCTAGCTAAACACAGTAACACCCGGAAATACTAGCTTGATTACGAGTCCCTGTGGGATCGATATCTTATATTACTATGCGATAGACCGTGCACTTGCAGTTAGTTCAGTTAGACATAGAAAGTCGCGATCACAAAACCAAGAGAAAAGCAATAGATCTGATTCAAGGTGCTGGTCGTGATCAGTTTACACATTTAAGAAGATATGTTGATGAATCGCTTAAGTCAAATCCAAACTCTACAGTTAAGATTCAATGTGTTGGTTCTGAAGGAGGTCCTATTTTTGAAAGAGTTTATGCGTGCTTGGAAGCATGTAAGGATGCATTTGCAGCAACATGCAGACCATTGATTGGGTTGGATGCTTGTTTTTTAAAAGGTGACTTTGGTAGAAAGTTTATAGCGATTGTTGGAAAAGATGGAAATAACAAGATGATGGCCATAACATATGTGGTTGTGGAAGCCGAAACAAAGAACTCATGGCAATGGTTTATAAAGTTACTACTTGATGATTTACAATATATTCAACACAAGGTCTACGCATTTATCTCTGATCAACAAAAGGTTATTACATTCTGTCATTACCTTAAATTTTGTCATTACCTTACATTCTGTTATTAAATTACATCATGAAATTCTATCATTACCTTACATTCTGTTATTAAATTACATCATGAAATTCTGTCATTACCTTACATTCTGCCTATTGTTATCAAATTACATCATGAAATTCTGCTATTCAATTACATTATAAAATTCTGCTATTATATTACATCATGAAATTCTTCCTATTGTTAACAGATTACATTCTGTTATTAAATTATGCCTAATGTTATTACATTCTGTTACGTAGGGATTGGTACCGGCTATTCTAGAGATAAGTCAATATGTGGAACATAGATTGTGTGTGAAACATCTTTATGGTAATTGGAGAAAGAAATATTTGGGGATAGAGATGAATGAGGCTTTATGGAGGAAAGCTAGGGCCACAACAGTACCTGCATGGGAGAGAGCAATGAATCTCATGAAAGAGATCAATGTGAAAGCTTGGAAAGACATGATGAATGTTCCTGCTACATGTTGGACTAGATCACATTTTAAGACAGATACGCAAAGTGACTTGCAAGTTAACAACATTTGTGAAGCCTTAAATCGAGCAATTTTGGAGTATAGGGACAAACCTATCATCACACTGCTAGAAGGAATAAAACACTACTTGACTTTAAGGATTGTAACTCAAAAATGAGCTTTAGGTAGAGTCAAAGGCATCATATGCCCCAAAATACAGCAAGTACTGGAAAAAAACAAAGAGGGCGGCTGAAGGATGGAATGCAACGTGGCATTCAGATGATGACTTTGCACTTTTTGGAGTGTCAAATGGTGTTGAGACTTATTATGTTAATTTATTGCAGAAAAATGTGCATGCCAGAAGTGGGATCTGACAGGGATACCTTGTTGTCATGCTATCGAATGCATATGGTTTGATAAGAAGGAACCAGAAGAGTATGTTTCGTCATACTATAGATAACTTAATTCATTTTCAGCTTACTTCATAAATTGTATGTTAGCTTATATGTTAGCTTACTTCGTTTTTACTGTGAATAGGAGGTCTACTGTGATGGCTACTTACAGCCATATCATCCAGCCAACAAATGGCCTGCAACTATGGCCAACAAATGATAGAACTCAACCAATCCAACCTCTAGTCATGAGGAGAGCTATTGTTCGACCAAAAAAGAACCGTAACAAGACAAATGATGAGCCAAGAAGCACACACACTTTACCAAGAAAAATTCAAACGATGAAATGACAAAAATGCAGGAAGTTGGGACATAACAAGCGCACGTGCAAAGGAAAAAGGGCAGCTGAGAGATTAATACCCAAAGGTGGCAATAAAAAGGCGAAGGCAAAGGGTGATGGGCAGACTGTTATTGAAGGAGGATATCATACTGCTTTTTTGCAAACTGTTTTTGTGCAAATTGTTTACAAAAGGAAATTGTGCAAACTGCTATTTCATATTGTGCATTTGGTTAGCTTTTTTATTTATTGTGCAAATGGAAATTGTGTAGATTGCTTATTATTTACAAACTATACTAATGTTGGTACTGCTATTGTTTATTGTGCAATTGCATTTTGGTTCATACCAGTGTCACAATTGGTGTATTTGGTTGATACCAGTGTCACAATTAGTGCATTTTGTTAATATATCAGTGTCACAATTTTGCCAACATTTTGTTACCTGCTATACCAGTTCAAAACATGGTGCTATACCCGTTCTTTTGTTTACATTTTGTGTACATTACACATTATGCATAACTAAACAAAACATAACACACAATTGTAACCAAAACACAACAATTCATCACATAACTATTTTTCTATTGCTACAAACTAGGGGTGGCAAAATGGATGGATTGGATGGATATGGATTGGATTGTTAATGGATGGATATAGATTGGATTGTTAATGGATGGATCAAAGCAATCCATTAATCCATTAACAATCCACTAAACTCTCTTAATAAAAATTCAATCCAATCCATCCATTAAAAGATAAAATCCATCCAATCCATCCATTAACATATTTCTAATGGATGAATATCCATTCATCCAAAAAATTAATTTAAAAATTCTTAATTTAATAAGTGACAACATAATATCCAATGGATTTATAAAATGAGATGGATGGATTGAATTCATCCATATGAGTTAGTGGATGGATTGGATCAAATCCATTAAATTATTTTGTCTTATGGATGGATTGGATAGATATTATCTAAATGGATTTCATTGCCACCTCTACTACAAATCAATTACACAACCATTTTGCCATTTAATATACATTTTAGACATAATCATTTGAATACATGTGTTGCAACTAATGCAAACACAAGCAACAATACAAACACAATAGACAAAACCAACAAATAACCCATAAACTTTATCTCCATCTTCAACAAACCTTCATTTTTCTTTGTGTCCCTAATTAAATCCATAACCTCATCATTCTTATTTTTCAAAGATCTAATCACATATTTTGCATGGTTTCTCATCTCTTCATCAACCCATTCAAAATAATTACATCCTTTTCTCCTCATCATCTTATAGTTACCACAACTAAGAAATCTTCCAGAATTCTCATAAGTCCATGTTATCATCAATGGTGACTCAATACCACACCAACATCTATTTTCTCTTCTTCTTGGACCAAACTGATTTGTTGAAACAAAGGAGAAGTTTGTTTCAGACATTGTTTGTAAAGAACTCGAAGAAGATACAACAATAACAAGAAACTTGTTTGAGAAGAAGATACAAGAAGAAAATAACACTTGAAGATGAAGAATTCAAAGAACAAGAATCAATGGTCTTAGTTGAGTGGGGCGCACTTGAAGAGCAGATGATTTGTGAAGGAGGTGTTAACTTCGAAAAATGGAACAAGATGAGTTAGGGTTTTTTTTTCCAAATTATTTAACATGTTATAAATAAAAAATAAGATAAATGTAAAATAGTAAAAAGAAATTAAAATATTAAAAATGTTATAAATAAAAAGTAAGATATATGTAAAATATTAAAAAGTCTCAATTATTAATTTAGCATTGCCATATGGGCATATCTCACTGCCATGTCATCAAAAATCATCAAAAATTGACCTCAATGGGAAACTAAAATCCTTATAAAACCAAACTTTAAGGAACTAAAAACATGGATTTAAAAATGAGAAGATCAAAACCGAGAAAAATAGATAATAGATAATAGGGAGATTAAAACTACAATTAAGTCGAAAAAATAAAAGACAAAGCTGAAACTTTAAATTTAAAGATCTCAAGTTACTTTCCCTTGGGAATATTTAAATCATCTTTAATTGCATTTTCTATTCAGGATTCAGCTGTCCAATAAATGGTACAAAGTCAACATCATGTTCTTTCATTTTCGTCCGTTTCCATAACTCGACTCATTTTCTAGCTTATGTCCCACTTGTTTAGATGAAAATATCAAATAGAATACTGAAACTCAAGAAAATATTTACCAACCAGACACTTTAAATCTTAGAAAACACGTCAAAGGAACTAATAATGATGCTAATAAACAACAAAACAATACAATAGTATTTCAAATATTTGTCCTCCCATAAATTTCCCCCCTAAACTTTGTACCTTAAATAACAATATGTATCTGTATCAGGAGCACAACATATTTGAAGATAAATATGAATGGGGGGAGACAAATAATTTGGGAAAATTAAAAAATTAAAACTCAAATTTACAGGCCCGCCTCTTTCTCTAGCCTAAAATCTTAAAACGAGGCAATGAAGCGAGAGGCCGATCCAATTGTATTTCAATGAAATAACGATCAAATCACCGTGCACAAGCTCTGAAATCTCTACCCCCTTTAGTGGTTGGGCCGATGATGGTTGCGTTATTTGCAGAAGGTTGTGACCACTGCAGCACTAACTGACTTGTTCAGTCACCAATCCAAACTAACAAAGCAAATACTTAAATATGTCGGTCAGTGATATGATGCCTTCTACGCGCTTGCTGCCAGCTTCAACAATAACAAGCCGCCGGACACCTGAGTCCAAGTCAAGAGAGTATACAATTTTAAGAATTGTGGTCTTTCAAAAATTGGACACAATTAATCACTTCATGAGTTTCACTCCTTATTAGCAAGTTAAAATGAAAATAGAAATAGTTTTCATGAAGTATACGGGGACCTAAACGATCAAGTAAGATGTAGCTTTCATTCAGCATTTGAAGATAAATGAATAACCAAGGTTACTGATTGTTGAAAACGACAAAATGAAAAATAACAAAACATAACCAAGAAAAAATTGACCACCCAACACATAATTGATAATCACCCAAAGAAAACATAAAGCTACTTTCATAAAAGAAAAGGGAAAATAAAACCTGGTTTTGACAAACGATCCATCACTTTATGCAAAGAATCCGTTCGCAAACACATCTGACATCTTTGACTTCTCGACTCATTCGGATTAAAAGCATCCTGGCCCAACTGCAATGCCTGTACAAATAAAACAGGAGATACTTAGAATTCACAAATTAAATCACTAAGATTAAACGCTCAAGTTACACAGCCGTCTACAAATTAGAGTATATAACAAAACCGTCTATTTCCATATGTAAAAAAAAATAATGTAATCTTGTTTCGTGGCGCAGACTGTAAGATGCTTGACTATATATTCCATTCATAATGTCAAAACGAGCCGTAAAAGACAGTATTACTCATCCTCCTCCTGTCCAAAGACCGGTTTAACTTCTGCTCAAAATGAACATCAAGGATGTGGGCTAGTGGTTAGGATTTATCAAGCTGGACTTATCAAGCATGCACAAAAAATGGTCAAACAGTTAATATTCTATGCATCCTAAACAAGTGAATTACTAAAACTCATTACATTTAATCATTCTCAACAATCAAACAAAAAGTTGCTTCTCCTTTCTTCCTTTACTAATTTATCCACATTAGCTAGAGCTCATTTTTCATCTGCATATCGGCTGGATCTAACCACCAAAATGACACACGCTGGCTAACATAATTGACCTGAATTATTGCCTGTATATTTCTAGTTCCTCGACCTTACTCTTGATGGCAACAGGGGTTTGTTAAATGCAACAAAGGAGCACTTTTAATAATATTAATAGGATGAGTTCATCACTTAATATAAACAGAATTCAGTAAGGACTAGGGAGCACAGTAGGGAAGTTAACTCTTAATTGGGAAGTGCATGTTTATTGATACAATGTACTCCCTCACCGGACTCAATTATAAGCAAAAACAACTAATTACACAGATTAAGAAAAATGGTTAACTCATTTAATTTTCCTAATGTAATCAAAAAAATAATTGTATGTCCTAAACTACTATTTCTTTTCATTTAATTTGTATATAAACTTGTTTCATTGATGGATATTTTGAGAATAATAGAACTACTGAATAGGGTGAAGTTAGTTAGATTTTGCTCATATTTTGGTCTATCAAATATGACTAATTTTGTGCACATTTTAAATCAGAGTAGTACACATTAACTTCCAATTTAAAAAAGAATATCTGCCTCTGCATCAATAAAACATTACTCCCTCCATTCTCTTTTATAAACAACTTTTGACTTTTAGGTTCATTAAATAATTGATGTATCTGATCAATATGTTATCTAAATACATCATTTATTGAATGAATCTAAAAGTCAAATTTTGCTTATAAAAGAGAATGGAGAATGGAGTATTGTTTAAGAAAGGAATCTAATTTCATATAAAATTTCAGGTCTCTTAAACATTAAATAATCATGCAAAAGAAATACATGATCAAATATCATTTGAGAGATGGGATAGAACGTTTCAATAATAAAGAACATTGCATAATAACTTCAATAGGCAACTAAAACGTTAAATTTAAGCATATCATAGTTCTGGATAATACTACTCTATATGAAGCTGGGTAATTTTGTTATTTTTATCCAAGAAAATTTAGTAGAGAGCAGAAAAGCACTAATTCATTTCAATATATTAATTTGGTTGTCGTCTTCAAGTGATCGGCGTCATAGGGTCCACAAAACTATACAGCAATAAAAGATAAACAAACATGTTCCCATTTTAGTTTCTTTTTCTCTAGTTTAATTTCAAAAACATAAATTGTCAATAGAAATGGAAATTTTGAAAAAGAGAAAATCCAAACTTACTTGATGAACGGTCATCTCGTCGAGATTAATGCGTGTATAAGCTCTGTCCTTTGCCAAAGCTGTTATATCACTACAAAGCAGGGAAAGGAGGGAAAATGAGAAACTTGATGGGCCACTCTAAAGAATGAATTGTGAAGACAATTTAATGTTTGAACTATAAAACTCCCAAATTATATTGATGACGATAAAAACTAACCTCCGGCAATATATATCCAGTAAAGAGTCACTATCATCAACTATTGGTATTGAACTTACTTGATCTGCAAAGAAAATGTCAACAAGTTATGTCGCATATAATCATGCCATGTAAGCAAGACATCTATCTAATATTTCAATGTTAAATTTGAAAACTGATGATTCTTATTTCTCATTTAGTCAACATTTTATCTTATCTTTTCTATGCTGTTTAATCACACCCAAAAACAACACTTCGCAAGGTTCAACACCCACTAGCACCAGTCTTATAACTCTAATAATAAAATAGAAAAATCAATTATTTCTTCTTTCTCTGTGTTTATTCTATTTTGTAGCAAAAATAAAAAAGTATCAAACCTTGAACTAGTAAGTTTAGGGCTGAAGTAAGAGAAGCATTTGGTCTCAACATTGCTAGATGCCGGCGATTTGACTCCCCAATTTTGGGCACCCATGTGCCCACAGGAATTGCACAAATTGGAAGCTGAAGTATAGGCAATGAACTAGAACAATTCCTAAAATACCTGCAAATGCCTGAAAATTCTATCCGGTGACAATCAAGCAGATCATACCAAAAAAAAGGAAATTGTCAGAAAAATAGAACACTTACATCTAAGAATCCCCGAAAGTGAAGCAAGATGCAGTAGTTGTGGAAATGAACCATCTTCAGAAGATGAATCAATAACAGGAATTGTTGAAATTCCATTTTGCAGAATCTTCAGAGCAATATCTTTCAAATTATCATATGGCCCTGCCTGAAAAATAAGTTAAATCAACAATCGATCATATAGCCCCTCCTGCTTTATATAATTATTGCACTTATTTTACTGAACATATGCATGTCACCATTCACCATAAAGATACAGAGAACAGTGATTATTGGGTAAATCTTCACACGCGGCCCAAGCAACAGTTTTGTCAATTTCAAATCCAAGTTCCAACATTAAAATAAGTTGGATAATTGTAAAGTTGTGAAAAGAATGGTACTTTTGATTGAAGAGTAATAAAAGACAAACAATTCGACTACTTTTTAATTAATAAAATATAGCTATGAAGAGGATTGTAAAAGAATCTAATGTTTGAAATTTAGCATTGCAATACATGGTATAATGAACTTAACTTAACTTCAATAACTGTATTTTTCCACTAATTGGATACATGTGCATTTCCAATTTTTAGACAAGACACAAGCAAGATCTATCTCAATGATGCAATCTGGACTAAGCATCAAGATGATCTTCATAAGTAGACATCTTCATGTCAATACACAATATTTCTGCACTGTATACTTTTACCATGGACTATATTCTATATCTAGCTGGTTTACCCAAAAATCAAAGTTGTCAAAAGATAAGCATCCTGTTATTTCTGCAATCTACTTATTGTACATCACAAAATAGTGAGCATCCTCGTTTATATTTATATGTGCTTTACAAACAAAAAGATGCTAGTAGAATATATGAGCATAATCACATGTCAGTTCCTCCAGAGGCCATATAAAATACTTACATGGATGAAACGTCTTGAAAATACAGTCCATTTTCCTTCCTTCCAAGCTGATATGGTATGTGTTTCAAGCTCTTCTTCTGTCAGATTAGACCCATGATTCCCGAGCTGGGAAAAGGACAATAACAAATTTTATAAAACCTTGCAAAAACTAAAGATGGATCATGAATGAATTATACAATTAGAATTTGCAGTTTATCATTATTGGAAAAATCTTGAAATCGAGTCTCAACAACTAATTCCTGAAACCAGCCTCATATAATGCGAGAAAGGTTATTTTGGGGAACGTGGAATATCATATGCTTATCATATTATTCATAACGAATGGCAAATAACCATAAATGAAATGCTTACAAGTTATAATGATAAATTGATATTGTTACATCAAAAAAACATGCAGTTTTTTTTATTAAAAAAACATGGAGTCAATTAGTTATCTGTTTATTCACTATCAATTGCACAAATGTTATGATTCTTCTGCCTATATATTTGTAATTTGGTATGGCTGTGTAGTGATGGAGCTTGTATCAGGCAGTGAACATGTTAGCTTTTTTACCAGGCTTAGTCTGTCATAAATCTTGTATCGGTAATATATTAGCCTTTGAGCCACTTGGAATTTACAAAAACCATTATAACAAGAGCTTTGCTTTAAAAAACTTTCCAATGGAAGAAGTAATAGAAAAATACTTACATACCTCTCTTAAAATTAAAATAAAATCTAAAACGCTGAGAACACCAACAAACTGTCCCTTGCAGAAATCCCAAAGAGGAGCCATGGGTATTCCCTGTAAATTATCCAATTAAAAAATAATTGCATAAGAAAGCAACAAATAAGCAGCCAGTAAGCAAGCGGAAACAATGCGAATCAAAATGCTGAAGTATCAGACATAAACATTGGTGCAACAACGTTTCTTAAAAACTGCTCAAGTTCCATTAAAGGAATCAAAATGCATAGAGAAATCATATATCCCTTTTATTTATCAAGGTTAAAAGGCAAGGAAACTACATGTAGTAATCAAACATGTTTTGAGCAGAGTAATTCAGTGTGTGTGTGTGTGTGTGTGTGTGTGTGTGTGTGTATAGAAAGTGCTCTATATGGGCAAAGCAAAGATACCTGCTCATGTAGTATGTGAAATGCTTGCTTCACTGGCAGATCAACATCCAAGGTAACAACCTGCGGCAAGATATCACCACATCAGTAAATTATGTTACTCTAGATGGGTTTGGTAATACCAAAAGATACAGTCCTTAACAAAGGTTCAATGGTAAAAGTTCCAAACCTTGCCTGACTCAGGAAGTAATTCATAAGCTGTTTGCATTGACAAGTATGCAGCAATACGTTGGCGTGAGGTCTGTATATCAACCGCTGATACTCTCGGCATCAATTCACTCAATGTACCATCTGTCAATCGGACCTGGACGGTGGAATTTCATAAGCAATTAAACAACTACACAAATTTGCTATATTACATTGTAAGTAATCAGGGTTATGATAAATGAGCCAGCACCCAAGTAGCGGACATGTTTGTAATAATAATTACAACGGTCAAAGTATGAAAAACTCTTACCACACGCCGAAAGGTCTCACTATCCACATCCATGTTAGACCCAGAAACTATGTCGGGAGGTAAAACAGGTATAAAATTAGGATCAGTAGGCAATAATACAGTGTTGACTATCCCATATTCTCCAGATATATAAGGTTGGTGCTCATCATGCCGCCATTCTCCATCAACAAAAAACTTGTACTGCATTTCAAAAAGCTATATAGTTAGTATATAGCCACCACGAATAAAGCCCAAACATTTTCAATAATAAATATTGCTCAGAGTGTTTTTAAATCCACCAGTGTATGTCATAAACGAGCACTTCAAAATCAAACATAAACAGTATATTACTTCTTGATTAACATTCATTGTAAAAACAAAACATCTCAAAACAAAATCTTAAAAAAACATACACACATACAATCATATGTATAATAATGTTGTTTTGAAAGAACATGAAACTACTACACAATCATTACCAAATATCAGAGCAACACTATAAACTAACCTGATGATAACCAGGGGCCAAGCTATGGATTACTTGAAACACAGTTGGACAACCTTCAACTGGTGACATTTGCAGAAGCTCAGACCACCTTGAAACAAAACTCAAATTTCTTATCAGGAAAAAAAATGAAATAAATAGCACAATAGTAAAACAGAAGTAGAGCTTTTCCACCAAAATAAGAAAAACTATACCGTGTGAAGGAACCACTGAGATACACGCTCCTGCCCCCATACGGCCACACGAAACGCATGGGAACTAGCACCGTCCCTGCTACAACACCACCCACACCCCTTCCAGAATCCATACTCGTACTGAACATTCTATTCCAAAATTCAAATAGCTACACAAAATTCTTTCTTCCAAGAACTAAACTTTACAGCATCCTCTCATCCAAGTTCAATTCACAGAAAACAAATTCAACCAAATGCAGCACCAATTCAATGCCCTACAAAACCAAAAATAGAAATTCAAAATTTATCCCAAATCAAAAATCCTAAACCTAAAATTAAAATTAAAAAATTAAATTAAAAAAAAAAGACAAAATTTAGATACTCTGTCACGAACAAAAATCAAAATCAGTTAGTGCAGTGCCCATTGCACACTACAAGGAAACCAAATCGACATCAAAAATTGCATGCAAGCAAGCCAATGAGTAAACGACACAAAAACCCTAACCCTAAATCGAGAAAAAAAATCGTACCAAATCGAGGGTTGTACGTCGAGGAATTTAAGAAATTCTGGTGAAAAAGTAGAAACCCTATGGAAAGAGGTTGAGAAAATCGAGGATGAGTGAGCTATGAAAGAATCCAAGCATAAAGAAAAAAAGACGAAACTTTGTAATAGATGCTTGAAATTTATTATCACTTGAGGAAAAATAAATAAAAAATTGACATGAAAGAAAAATTAGTAAAAAACAATAAAATGGTCAATGAATTGTGAAGTTGTAATGTCAGATTGGTAAAGATGGTGATTTATTTTTGTTTTCGCCATCATAATAATCATGTTTAAACATTTTTGTCTTTGTATTATATACATGTTTTATTTATTTTAAATATTTTATTTACATTATACATGACTTTTAAAAAAATTATGATAGTGTTATTTTAAAATTAATTATTAAAACACTTTACTAAAATTAATTATGAAAATAGTTGAGTGAAGTTAAGTTTAATAAATAAATATTTTATTTGTTTGATATATAATCATTGAATATAAAGATACAAATTCGACCTCGCGACATCTTACATATTGTAAAAAAGAATTTGAATAAAAAAATTGTTTATACAAACAGGTTAAAAAATATTTATGAAAAGTTCAAATACTATTATACAAATCAAACTTTAAAAGTGACACTTTAATGTATATAATTGGTATGCGTGTGAAAAAACTATATATTATTTATGTATGTAAATTAATTCACAAATAAGTCGTATTTTAAAAACCGGATCGAACTGGTCGAATTAGAAATCAAAAAGAGTATTGGTCTGATTTGATTGTTGGATCAAATATGCTATTGAACCATTGAAAATCGGTCATAACCGGTCAAAACCGCTAAAAACGGGTGAACCGGCGGTTTAAATGCATGTCTTTTTTTTTCTTCATATTAACGACGTCATTTTGATAATTATTTTTTTTAATAAAATTAAAATATAAGTAGATTTTATTCAAAACTTATTTGGAACAATTTTTCTTCGTTTGTAATCGGATATTGTTCAAAATTTATTTGGATTTGTATTTTGTACGATTTTGTCGTGCGTGATGATTACGTCAAAAGTTTGAATTTAAAGAATGAACTTGTGAAATTATGACATTTTGAAATTTTGTAGGTGACGTGATATTTTTTACGGACCAAGACATCTGGTTCGACCGATTTATTAAATATTTAGTTTTTTATAGAGACCGGTTTATCCAGTCGAGTTATCAGGTTTAATCATGCGGTTTGACCAGTGACCTAATCGTTTGACCAATGAACCAGCGACCCAGTACCTTCACTGGTTCGATGACTGGTCCGATTTTTAAAACATTGCAAATAAGTATGAATTTAATTCATATAAAAATACATTGTTAACAAATTAGAATAGTTAAATTTATATATATATTTATATATATATATATATATATATATATATATATATATATATATATATATATATATATATATATATATATATATATATGTGTGTGTGTGTGTGTGTGTGTGTGTGTGTGTGTGTGTGTGTGTGTGTGTGTGTGTGTGTGTGTGTGTGTGTTATAAATGACATGATTAAGAATGTCCATCAATCGAAGAATTTCATAATGATTTTTCATTATTATATATTGTCGCAACTGCGAAAAACACCCGGCAGAAAAACAGAAGAGTCGTCATCAAACGTTATTTATCCCAAATAGAAGGAAAGGAAACAATCGAAGAAAACCTGAAGAACGGGAAAAGACAAGGTCATCGCAACCAAATCTTGGGTTCGGGAGTCGGTTACGCAAGGGGAAGGTATGAGCACCCCTCACGTCCGTTTACTCAACGGTATCTACACTTGTTGTCTGATCAAAGGGTGTGTTATCTAAAAGCTATTGCAAAACAGAAACGAGAACTAAAGAAAAAGAAAGAGACTCGATAGGACATCGCTGCCCAATGTCTACGTATTCTCTTATGCAATGGGAAAGTCTGAGTCAACGTAGTTCGAAAAACTACGGGTGATGGGGGAAGGTTGCTCCCCAAGACATCGTCGTCTTGTGCCTACGTATCCTCATCCGGTATGAGAAATCGGAGCAAACGTAGTTCGGAAAAAGAGGAAATCACAGGTTGGTTAAGTGTTTTTTATGAGCGAAATTAAGTTTTCATTCCAGCAGTTAGGGACGATGCTTGCTTGCAGTAGAACGGAAAAGTAACATACTCTTTTCTGAAAATGAGTTTGAAACATAAATCCCGAAGGATAAAATGTTTGACTTTTGTTTGTGTATTTTAGTGAAGTGAATTAGTTTACTTTGTGATTCACGTTGCACTAAAGACTATGATATAAGAACGAATGCGTCACATATCGCCCCCAGACGGGATGTACACTAAACACTATAGACAAGTGAGAGGAGACCTTTCACTCATCATTTCCCATATGCTTAAGGTTTGTGGCGCACAACGTTCATAGTCTTTTATTATATGAGTTAGAATTGTTTTGAGATGAGAAGAGAGACGCGCAGAAGGTCTAAGGGAAACTCAGCTCTAACGTTATCATGCAGAGTGGTTATAAGGTCGGGATGTGAAAGGAGATTTTATCCTATTGTTAGCATGCAAAAGATGGACCTAAGATTGAGGTTAAAAGGGACTAGCCTAATGTTATCATGCATGGATTAAACTTTTAATGTCTATCCTACTCAAAGTTTAATCAGAAATTAAGTCGGACTAGGAGGCCTCAAGGGAGCATGCAAGAACAAGGCAAAAACAAGGAAAGTAAGGCAAAAACAACAGCTACAACAACGCTTCCTGAATAAAACAGCAGTAAAATCCAACACACAAGCAAGACAGTCTACAACAACACATATTTCAATGCAATTAACATGAGCAAATTCCAATCATGAACAAGCATCATGCAAGGATGGACATGCATCAACAATCAAACATAAATGTTCAACAATATTGCCTCATCAAGAATTAACGATATCAAACAAGTTTTTCACATCAGTTACACCATTCAATCGGTCATGCGATAAGTGGAATCGGAAGCAAATACAAACATGTATCACAAGTCCAGCAGGATAATCATCAACAATTAATCATTAACATGATACAAGTAAGCAAAGCATATGATCATCACATCCATCAAGCAACACGAGCAAAGCACGTGATCATCACATCTATCAAGCAACATTAACGTAAACCAAAAGTCACGCGCCGAAGAATTTAAGTCAAACATTCAAACCTGGTGAAATAGGTCAAAAACAGTCCACACAAATGCATCATATCAATCCATAAAGTATAAGGATGAAAAGGAACCCAAGAAAGCAAGAAAAAGGCAATATGTCCCAGTGGTAATCGATTACCATGATCATGTAATCGATTACCCCTTTGAAAAATGACCAGAAATGTGAAAAATAAGCAGGGTAATCGATTACCTGATAATGGTAATCGATTAACACTGAGACAGAGGCAAAAAAATCAGCTTCCAAAAGCACTTTTCAGCAGCAAACGACTTATCTGATCATCCAAATGAACAAGTAATCAATTATGCACAAAAATTAGGTCATATCACAGTAGGAAAACTCCAATTACATCACACAAATAACAAGATCAACGATCAAATCAAAACAAATGGATCAAAATGAAATAAAAGTCATGGATCTACATTGTAGCATGCAAGATTAAGCAATATCAAAGCTAGATCTAGAAATTACTAACCAGCAAAGCTGAGAATTGCTTTGGTAAGTGTTGTTAAGCTGCAATTAACATTTCCAAGTAAGAAATCCAAGGATCTATGAAGCTTTAACAAGAAAACTTAAAGATCAAAGCAAGAATCCACAAATAAGCAAAAACTCTTCCAAAAGTGATTCCAACAACTTAATTCAAGATCCAAATGGAGTACAAAACCATAATTTATCCAAGGATGAAGATGCAATAAAGGTTTAGCTCAAGGATTCATAAATTACAATGCATAATTTGTGAAGTTTTTGGTTATGGAGCTTTGGTGGAAGGTTTTGGAATGAGATAAAAGTTGAGAGAACTGAAGTAAGATGTGTACAAAAAGTCAAAAAGTTGAACGAGAGTCATGAAAGGTTTGGAGTGAAATGGATTAAATAATCCCTAGGTTAGGATTTAGAATGTGGCTTGGAATATGGATTAGTGTGAGGAATGGAAATTAGGAGTGAAATTAGGAATGAAGTGTTTGAATTCGGGAGGGAAATGATGAAAATGAATTAATTCTAGATCCTTCCATGTGAGATGAAGGGTTGAAAATGATTGAAAATTCTGCAGTGCTGAAAATTCAAATATTTTTGCAAATTGTGCCTAAGGTAATCGATTACCCATATGTGATAACTGATTACCACATTCCAAATTTTCCAATTTTGGCACCATGTGGAGGGAAACTTGCGTAATCACCCGTTGCCATCTGTTATGATCCCCATTAAGCCTTTGAAACTTGCCCTTTGATATTACGACTGTGAAAATACCTGAGATAACTTATGACCTGTCTCCTGTACTGAAAATAACCTGCTGATTAAAATAAATCGGTCACTCGATTGTTGGGCAAAATAAATGCTGACGCCTCTAACGCTCGCTGTTTAAACTCTTGCAATAAAAGAAAACCTCGAGCCACGAAAATACCTTGATCCCAT